GAGTCGATTACTTTCAATTAAACAAAAAGGAATCAAAGAACCAGGTTTGGTGGTGTGTGCCTGTAGTCCCAGCTCCTCAGGAGGCTGAGGCAGGAGGGTTGCTTGAGCCCAGGAAATCGAGGCTACAGTGAGCTATAATAGCACTGTACTTCAGCCTGGGTGACCCAGTGAGACTTCATTTCTAAAGAAAGAAACTGAAAGTGACGAGAGTTCCCTTTCCAGAGAGCAAAGTCTTGATGCTATCCACAGGGAAGGTGTTGCTCAGAATGTATACACCAGTGCTGTTAAGTTTCCTTGGAAATTTAAATGATAATATGTCTATTTTCATTTTTAAGATGGTTCTGCCAGAATGTCTAGGCTCTGTCATCATATACTATGGTCTATCCAGCAGCACTTAATTACTTTAAAAACATTGTCAGAAGTTGAGGTTTGTTCATTGCCATGTCTATCAGCACCTGAGTCCTTCACAAGCTGGCTGTGGCAGTCGAAGCAGGAATCACTCTGGCCCTGACTCCTGTCCCAGCACTGATTCAAACGCCTGTTCCAGCGGCTCTAGCAGCTGGCCAGGCATGCACTCCAGCCGATAAAATATTCAGAGACAGACATATAGTTTTGAAAAACTCAGTAGTAGTGAATAAGTATCCATGTTAAATATAAATAAATAAGCGAATTTACAAAGAGGGATATATAGGATTAAATAAAGAACATGTGTACCCAGAGATGCTGTGAAAGGAAATTGAATGGTTTTTATGTGCTGGCCACATTTTTCCCTTGGTAGTGTCCGGAAGGCTGAATTTCCTTAGCCCTGGTTTTCCTTGCGGGAAAAACCACACGCAATGGGTTCCAGTCTCTGTTTTTGCTGAAGAATGCCACACTCAGCATTATGTTTTTAGAAGTAATAACGTGCTCCACTCATTAGTTATTATTATTATTTTTTTTAATTTTGAAACGGAGTCCTGCTCTGTCACACAGGCTGGAGTGCAATGGCACAATCTTGACTCACTGCAACCTCCACCTCCCAGGTTCAAGCAATTCTCCTGCCTCGGCCTCCAAGTAGCTGGGATTACAGGTAAGCGCCACCACGCCCAGCTAACTTTTGTTTTTAGTAGAGACGGGGTTTCACCATGTTGGTCAGGCTGGTCTCGAACTCTTGACCTCACGTGATCCACCAGCCTCAGTCTCCCAGAGTGGTGGGATTACAGGCGTGAGCCACCGCGCCCACTCATTTGTTAATTTATTTGTGTAATATTTATAGACCTCCTACCATGCCCCAGGCACCTTACAGGGCACCGAGAATACAACAGCGAACAAGACACAGGCCCTACCTTGGAGCAGCTCAAGAGCCGGAGGGAGGGGCCTCGAGGGAAAACAGTGCACAGAGATGGAAGATGGGAGGGGCAATGGGGGAGCTTCACAGAGGAGAAGGCAAGGTGGGAACGTGGAACGTTGGTCACTGTCCGTGGCACGTGGAACGTTAGCAGCGTTCTGTGAAGTCTGCATCTTCAAATGCCCCAGCTCTGTGTAGTCTGATGAGAGAGGATAATGGCCAGGCTTATGGACGGAGGCGAGTCAGAGAGGGAACGAGGATTTCTCAGGAGGAATGAGAGGCGCGCAGCCCCTGTGGTGATCCCCACTTCCTGGAGAACGGGCCTTTCCTGGCCGTGCTGTGCCGCGGTCCCGGGGGACAAATGCGGGCGGACACCCCCTCCTGCATGTGGCCGGGAGAAGAGCAGGGCACTTCCTTCCTGTGCCCCTCCCCTCTGCCGTCCGCCTCCCCGTCTCTGTTTTTACCTCTCTGCTCTCTTGCCCCTAAACTTTTCTCCCCCCCTCTGACTTCCGTCTCCGTCGGTCAGTGCGCTCAGCGTGTCCTGCCCTCCAGCCCGTCTCTAAAAAAGACAAAAACCGAATGATGAAGGAAAGTGACAGGATTTCCATTTCCAGAAACCCAAGTCTTGACTTTATCCGCAAGGGTAAGTGTCGCTCAGAACGCACTTTTCTTCTAGCATAGGGCATTTCCTTCCATTTCGGGACCGCGGGGAGGAAAGGGGCTCGCGGGACCCCCTGTCTTTCACTTGGCTGTTCGGATTCTGCCATCTTCAGGACAGGGATGGTCCTGCAAGTGGATTTCACTCCGTTTCTTGCCTGCGGAGGATGAAGAAGTAAGGAGGGTCTCAAGACCGCAGCGCAGCCGTCGGGAGCAGCTCACTTGGAGGTGGAAAATGTTTTCTCTTAGGTATCCGCCCCCGCCTCTCTCTGCTCTGGGTGTGTGGCACTGGGTGGGGGGTCAGAGATACAAAGTGTCCAGGCAGCCAAAATGTCAAGCAAGTACACTGTTCCAAGGGCGGGAGGTTAAATAAGTTTGCCCCACACAAAATACAATCGTGCCCACGGCGCTTGCAGGAATGAGCGGCTACCTTAGCCTAAGCCAGTTCCCAAAATAGGAATGCTCACTTGCTGGGAATTGGAGGAAAACCACGAATTCACTTCAAGGTATAACACCTTGGCTTGCCAGAAAATGGCTGTGAGTGGGCAAGGACGGGGGCATTAGGATTGGGGGCTTGGGGTTGGGGGCAGATCTGCTGAGAGAACTAATGACTTGAGTTGGAGGGAAAACAGGAATAAAAGACTTTGTATTCAATTTCCACTCCCTTGAAACACACTACCCTGTGGGAGCCATACATAATTAATGATATTACCGTGCAACAGTAGGACTACAGAGATACGTTAATATTGATGAATATTTTTTCATTTTTATTGCACTTTTCAAGTATGCCAAAAAACATTAAAAGTTCATAAAAGAAAATAATTTGGCTCCATCATGACTGATCTCATACCTGCAAAGGAGTCCGTGGTACCATCTGCGCTTATTGGGACAGCCCCATTTTTCACTATTTGTGGTCCCAGATGTCTGGACGTTTCAGATAAACTTCCAGGTTTGAGTATTGGCTTTTACCAAAAGGAACAGACTCATGGGAGACTAATTCCCATTTGATTCCAGAAATACTTTGAGGAAGGAAGTAGACATGGGTAAATAAGATGCCGAGTTTGGCAGCTGATGAGTATTCATTGTATCAACCAATACTGATTGACCTCTTAAGCTTAAAATTTATCACTCACATTGTAGCTAACATTGCGTGGGCTACACAATAGCTGTGCTTTTGCTAGTTGGTGGCTCTGTTGCTATAGCCAACTGTGCAAATATTTTTTTGCTCAAAAGCTGACATGTTTGGGAGGGAAATAGGTTTCTGGCCCTTTAATAAATAATTCTAGTTAGTCCTCTCCCATCCATCCCAAATCAATAGGAAGCACAGTCAAGAGGAACTCATCACCCAGTGTTGAAAGGTAGATTTGCGGAAGTCCACCCACGTGTGATGGAGACAGAATACTCAGCAAATATTTGCCGGGCTCCCCTGCAGGCTCAGCCCCTGCAGAGGGGAAGTGGACAAGCCTCAATTCTGGAATGAAGCTGCACGTTGAATGGGTAAAGCCCATGGTCGTAAGCAACCTGGTTCAATGACATGGAAGACAACTCTGCAGTCACCGGGACCGCGGTGGACTTTGTGTGGCTGGAAATGAACTTTTACGGTGCTAAATCACTGAGATTTCAGAATTTGTTTTTACCCTAACATATCATCATTGCCTGCAGACACTAGTAGACTGAAAAACCACAAACCAATAAACATTGACTGTGCCCCTATTATATGCAAGAGGACATAGAAGTGAACTCCCTCCCAGAAGAATTCTTTCTCCATGGAAGGCTCTGACTCATCATTCACTGTTCCCAGGGGTGACTGATGACACCCCAAACTCTGAAGACTGGTGACAATCAAATTCAGGAGCATCTGTCACCCACTACTCATACTTTCTTGTGGAGGAAGCATTGTCTCTGACGCCAGAAACTCAAATTAGCTTTTGATATTTAATGTCATTTAATCTTGTCTGTTTACTTATTTAAAATAACTATGACAATCTTAGTTTGCAGTATGCATGAAAGTACATTTTGTACTTGATGGAAGATTAGTATCTCTTGAAACAGATCATCTGAAGTAATTTTAGACTCGTTTTCTTCCCAAATTAGGCTGCCTCAAGCCCTGCTGCTTCCATCACAAAACTTCCAAAGCACTCCCATTCTTGCAACTTCACCGTCAATGGGCTAAATTCAGAAACGAACCCTGACTTTTGATATATAGGAAGGACTGAGCGGGCAGACCAGAGAAAGTTAGTCATCTTTGAAAATCTCATCTGAGAGGCTTTTTTACTTCATAATTCTTCTGAGTGAGGTACCTGAGGGAGTCTATTATACCTTCAGAAAGAAATAATGTTTTCTATTTTGTTGCTAAACTTGCCATGCAACCTTAAATAAAGAATAGTGAAACTTTATTAGGGAAGGAAAGTAGGGAGAAGAGAGTGATTAATATACTCGGTTTTTCAAGTGCAAAGAAATTTCAGGGAGCTGTAAAGTTTGAGTATGTGTGTAACTTTTTATTTCCCCTTGATGTATGATTAGGTTTACTGCCTCCTGATATTAACATTTACACACAAGCTATAGTAGCAACATATTCTACATTCGTTTGCAAATTAGTTTTCAATCCAGTATGTCTCTGGAAAGGGAAGCAAAATCTTGCTAAAGAATACAAACTAGCTCTTGTAAACCAGAATATGATATTTTTGACAGCAACTAAAGGGAAGAGAGAGAGAGATGAGAACTCAGGATTTGCTAAGCACACAATATGGTGGGTGCTTGTTGCTGTAATACACATATTATCCTTAATTCTCACTACAATCTGAAGACAGACATGATCTCCATTTTATAGATGAGGGTACTGAGACTTCAAGGAATATGGGTATTTCGTAAATTTAGCCTGCTGGTCCTGAGAGAGGCAGGCAGAGCTGGCGTGCAGACCTAACCTTTCTGAGCCCAGATTTAGTGTTTTTCCCATTCTGCCAGACTGGTCATGGGAAAATGCCCCGCTACAGCGCCATCTTCAAGTCATGCCTATTCCAACTGGCTCTCCAAAGACATTAGGGCATGCGTTTTCAATGAGGGCCATATTGTCCACAGTGGGGCAAAAATTGGTTCTTGGGAAGAGGCAGGGATCTTTCTCTTGCTGTAAAGCACCAGTCTAGTACACAAACAGATATCCAGCAGGCCTGTGCTATTGGCATCTCATGGAGGGGGTGATTAGGAACAAATGTGTCTAAAAAAGGCTGGTTATAGGGGTGCTAATGAAAACAAGGTTGACCACTGGGCAAATGGAAGAGGGGAGGCCCAAGAGATGTGAGTGGCTGTTCAGAGGATTGCTGCATCTGCTATTGGTCTGGGACCATCATGGGGAAATGACCTGGAGCCCCAGGTGTCTCTAGTTCTTTCTGAACATGGAAGTTCAGAGAAGGCGCAGACCACAGCCAATAAGTGGAATCTGTTGCTAGATTTTCATCCCGACCTTTTGTCCTCCAACTCCTTAGAAACTTCACTGGTAGATTAATCTCACACATGGCAATGGCAAAAAGGCTTCAAGGAAATGAACAGTAGCTCCTTTCCCTAAGCAGCTTGGGACACCTGAAGTGGAAACACTTTCTAGAGCAAGGATTCAAAGACCCTTCCATCTATCCAAGTCACAGCTCCCCTGGGGACACTATTGGTCTGGGACATGTGTGTTATTCCCCAAATGCTCTCCCGTAATTGGCACCAAGGGTGGGGGAGGTTGAAGGCTTTTCGGAAAACGAAGCTAATCATTAGGTCTACCTAAAGATTCTTCCACCAAAGTGGGGTTTGAGGCTTTACTCCTGTGAGCTCAGGGGTCTGTCTTGTCACTCATACAGGGGACTGAGGAAGTGGCTGCAATGACTGAATTCTTTTGTGTTACTTCTCTGCCCTTGACAGAGCAGAACCTGAGGCAGGCATCCTCTGGAATAACAGTGCCGCTCACCTCTCATTTTAAAATTACATCAGTGGGAGTCCTAGGAGACTTTTTTTTTTTTTTTTTTTTAAAGCAAAAACCAGTAACTAAAGAACAGGGCTCCAATATCCTGTGTCTTCTCTGTGTTGTAACTGGGCATACCGTGTTTCCACTAACTTTTGTCTTTATCTTGAAGGAGGGAGAGGACTGTTTCAGATTTTAAAATGTGGGACAGAGGAAGAGCTATGCTAATAGTAGGAGGAAAACTATGCATTTAGGTCACTCACTAACACGCTTAAAAGAAAATGTTTCCAGTGACAATAAATAATTGGATTTCTTACAGGGGGCACACAGTGCTTCTGATAACTCCTTTCCCCTTTATCTGGGTATTTGATGCCTGGTAGGAGGGAGCTGGGGAGAGATGCTTCACAGTGGATGGAGGGAGATAAAAGGGAAGGATCTGACAGTTGCCATTACCACCGTGCCGTACCGTTTACCTCAGCCAGGAGTCACTAACGCGCCAGGTCAGCCCTGGGGTCGAGGGCAAGACGAGGAGTTTACACAGCCACGTAGGGTAGCTGGCTGGCTGGGGGCATTCATCAAACTGTGACAACAAACATTAGAAGAAGATTTGTTCAGGCAGAGAGATCAAGATAACAGTGCTTTCCTTGCAATGCTTCGGCACTGTGGTGGACGGAATGCTTTACATTGTGACATCAGCTCCTTCTGAGCTTTTGAGAAGGAGCCACACAATTAAGGGTGTAGTGAAATACCTGTTTCTTTGGAATTGAGCCCTTCCTAAGAATTTATTGTTTCACCAAAATGTCTTCTTCTGCACCAACTCCAAATGTGAGCTGGAAATTCTTCTTTTTTATTGTGCTACAATATATATTACATAAAATTTACCATTTTACTGATGTTTCCTTGTACCATCCAGAGGTAGTAAGTACAATCGCATTGTTGTGCAATGATGACCACCATCCATCTCCTGAACTTTTTCATTAGCTCCAGTTAAAACTCCACACCTACCAGGCGCGATGGCTCACACCTGTACTCCCAGCACTTTGGGAGGCTGAGGAGGGCAGATCACAAGGTCGAGAGTTCGAGACCAGTCTGGCCAACATGGTGAAACCTCATCTCTACTAAACATACAAAAAAATTAGCCCAGGTGTGGTAGCACGTGCCTGTAGTCCCAGCTATTCGGGAGGCTGAGGCAGGAGAATCACTTGAACCCAGGAGGTGGAGGTTACAGTGAACTGAGATTACACTGCTGCACTCCAGCCTGGGTGACAGAGTGAGACTCCATCTCAAAACAACAACAACAATCCTCCGTACCCCTTGAACACTAACTCCCTATTTCTCCCTCCTCTCAGCCCCGGGCAACCACTGTTCTACTTTCTGTTTCTATGAGTTTGACTATTTCTAGGAACCTTATGAAAGAGGAATTATACAACATTTGTCCTTTAGTGTCTGGCTTATTTCACTTAGCATGACGTCTTCAAGGTTCATCCATGTTGTAGCATGTATCAGAATTTCATTTTCCTCTGATTTAAAAACTGTGCTAAAATACACATGCATAAAATTGACCGTCTTACCATTTTTACGTGTATAGCTCAGTGGCATTAAATATATGCATCGTGTTATGCAACCATGACCACCATTCATCTCCATAACTTTTTTACCTTGTAAAACAGAAACTCTGTACCCATTAAACTCCCAATCCCCGCCTACCCTCAGCTCCTGACAACCACTATTCTATCCTTGTGTCTATGACATTGACAGCTCCTAAGTATTAATACATCATATCAGTGGAATCACACAGGATTTTTCTTTTTATGATTGGCTTAATTTGATTAGCATAATGTCCTCAAGATTCACGTGTGTTGTGGCCTATGTCAGAATTTCTTTCCTTTATAAGGCTGTGGAATATTCCACTGTATGTATATACTACATTTTGATTATTCATTCATCCATTCATCAGTGGACACTTGGGTTGCTTCCAAATTTTAGCTATTGTGAACAATGCTGTTATGAACATGGGTGTGCAAATACCTTTTTGAGACTCTGCTTTTAGTACTCAGAAGTGAAATTGTTGGATCATACAGTAATCTAGTCTTAATTTTTTGAGGAACTGCCATACTGTTTCCTACAGGGACTGCACCATTTTACATTCCCACCAATAATGCACTTGTTTCCAACCTCTCCACATCTTCACCAACACTTAGTATTTTCTGTTTGTTTGATAGTAGCCCTCCTAATAGATGTGAGGTGGTATCTTATAGTTGTTTTGATTTGCATTTTCTAAGGATTAGAGATGTTAAACATTTTTTCATATACTTGTCGGCTATTTGTATATCTTCTTTGATGAAATGTCCATTTAAATCATTTAAGTTTTTTGCCTTTTTTTTTTTCTCTTTTTTTTTTTTTNTTTGCGACAGAATCTTACTCTGTCATCCAGGCTGGAGTGCATTGGCATGATCTTGGCTCACTGCAACCTCCACCTCCCAGGTTCAAGTGATTCTCCCACCTCAACCTCCCGAGTAGCTAGGATTACAGGCATGTGCCACCACACCCAGCTAATTTTTGTATTTTTAGTAGAGACTGGGTTTCACTATGTTGGCCAGCCTGGTCTCAAACTCCTGGCCTCAAGTGATCCACCCACCTCAGCCTCCCAAAGTGCCTAAGCCACTGAGCCCAGCCTTTTTTGCCTACTTTTGAGGTGGATTGTCTGTGTTTTAAAAATTGTTGTTGAGTTTCAGGAATTCTTAATATATCCTGGATATTAAGGATATATTAACTGGATGACTATCCAGTTTTCCCTGCACCATTTCTTGAAAAGACTATCTTTTCCCCATTGAGGGGTCTTGGCACCTTTGTAAACAAATCATTTGACCATAAATGTGCAGGTTTATTTCTGGGCTTTCTATTCAATTCCACTGGTCCATACTTCTGTCTTTATATTGGTACCATACTGTTTGATTATTATAGCTTTGTAGTAAGTTTTCAAATCAGGAAATGTGAATCCTTCAGCTTTGCTCTTTTTCAAGATTGTTTTGTCAGTTTGGGATCCCTTGAAATTTCATGAATTTTAGGATGGGTTTTTCTATTTCTGCAAAAAAAAAAAAAGGGATTTTTGCAAAATAAAAAAAGGATTTTTAAAATAGAGATTGCTTTGAATAGTGTTGCTATCCTAACAATATTAAATCTGTCACTTCATGAACAAGTAAAAGTTTCCATTTACATATGCCTTTTAAATGTTCTTTCAGCAGCATTTGTAGTTTTCATTGTACAAATCTTTTACCTTGTTGGTGAAGTTAATTCCCAAGTATTTCATTCTTTTTGATGCTATTGTAAATATTATTTTCACAATTTCCTTTTCAGATCATTTATTGTAAGTGTATAAAAATGCAACTGATTTTTTGCATGTTGAAAAGTCAACATGCAAAAGACACAAAGGTGTCTTGCTACTTTGTTGAATTAATTGATTAACTCAACTTTGTGTGTGTGGAATCTTTAGGGCTTTCTGCATATAAAATTATATCATCTGCAAAGATAATTTTACTTCTTCCTTTCCAGTTTGAATGTCTTTTATTTATTTTTCCTGAATGATTGCTCTGACTAGAACTTCCAGTATTATGATGAATAGAAGTGGAGAAAGTAGATATCTATGCTTTGTTTCTAATCTTAGAGGAATAGCTTTTAGTCTTTCACTGTTAAGTATGGTATTCACTGTGGATTTTCATATGTGGCTTTTATTATTTGGAGATACTTTTCCTCTATTCCAAATTTATTTAGTGTTTTTATCATTAAAGGGTGTTAAATTATGTCAAATACTTGTTCTACATCAATTGAGATGATCATGTGTTTTTGTTATTCATTCTGTTAATACGGCATATTACATTGATTGTTTTTCCTCTGTCCCCTTCTTTTTAGTAATATTTAAATTTTATTTTAAGTTCTGGGATACATGTGCAGAACATACAAGTTTGTTACATAGGTAAATGTGTGCCATGGTAGTTTGCTGCACCTGTCAACTCACCACCTAGGTATTAAGCCCCTCATGCATTAGCTGTTTATCCTGATGCTGTCCCTCCCCTTGTAGCACTGAGAAGAATGTACATTCTGTTGTTTTGGGGTGGAGAGTTCTGTACATATCTATCAGGTCCACTTGATCCAGAGTTGAGTTCAAGTCCTGAATATCCTTGTTAATTTTCTGTCTTCATGATCTGTCTAATATTGACAGTGGGGTGTCAGAGTCCCTCATTATCATTGTGTGGGAATCTAAGGCTCTTTGTAGGTCTCTAAGAACTTGTTTTATAAATCTGGGTGCTCCTGTTTTGGGTACATATAGTTTTATTATATTTATTATAGTTAGCTCATCTTGTTGAGTTGATTCCTTTACCATTATATAATGTCCTTCTTTGTCTTTTTGGATATTTGTTAGTTTAATGTCTGTTTTGTCAGAAACTGGGATTATAACCCCTGTTTTTTTCTGCTTTCCATTTGCTTGGTAAATTTTCCTCCATCCCTTTGTTTTGAGCCTTTGTGTGTCTTTGCACGTGAGATGGGTCTCTTGAATATAGCACACCAATGAGTCTTGACTCTTTATCCAATTTGCCAGTCTGTGTCTTTTAATTGGGGCATTAATCCTTTTACATTTAGGGTTGATATTGCTTTGTATGAATTTGATCCGGCCGTCATGATACTAGCTGCTTATTTTGCACACTAGTTGATGCAGTTTCTTCATAGTGTCTGCTTACCCATGTTTGCTTGGTTTTTATTACTGTTTTTGTTTTTTAAAGTGTTTTAAGCTGTCTCCATGCCAAAGATAAGCCTGAAGTATATACTTAAGAGATCCTCAGGTCTTTCCTGAGCCTGTGCCTTTCCCTGGGCATGCATGGCCATTTTCTACTGTTTCCCATATATTCAGTTGCATTTAGTCATTGATGTCTGGCTCCCAAATGAGAAAAATAAAGAGCAAAATGAAGGGGTCGGGGAGAATGTTGGCCCTTAAATCCCCTGAAAGTCACTTCAGCCAGAGGAGGAGGGATTTGCAGTAATGGAGGGCAATGCAAAAACAATGGCTGTCACCTCTTTGTCTGCAGCTCTGTAGTCAGAAATAGCAGTCAGTGATTAGAGCAATCAGTGGTTAGAGCACATATCCCTGATATTTGGAAGACAGGATCCTTTTTGCCTACTCTGGCTTCTATAAGCTGTGTGCAAGTTACTTTAGGAACATGTGGACATTTGCCTGTGATAGATCTGGCTTAAATTGGCTAAAATTAACATCAATTTACCATCCAAAGCCTCCTCTGGAAGTTGCAAGCCTTCAATAGACTCTAGAGTTCCAAAAGGATTATATCAGACAGATTCTGTCAGGGCAATTATTGTCTACATGGGGAGACAGAATCTTGGTGCTTCTTACTTTGCCATCTTCCCTTTCATTACTTTTTAAAAGTGAATAATATTTCACTGTGTATATTATATGTACCACATTTTGTCTATCCATTCATCTGTGGATGGACATTTGTGTTTTTTCCATCTTTTGGCTGTTGTAAATAATGCTGCTATGCACCAATGGTGTATAAGTATCTATTTGAGTTCCTGCTTTCAGTTATTTTGGGTATATACTCAGAAGGGTAATAGTTGGATCATATTGTAATTCTATGTTTAATTTTTAAGGAACTACAGTATTTTCCCCACCCCCATTTTTGTACCTTAAATCTATGTTACTTTTTAATTGAGCATTACATTAAAATATTTTTCGAGCATAAAATGATTCTGTAGATTGAATATTTAAAATAGATTATACTTTTTACAATGGCATTGATTGCCAAATCTAGTCTCTAAACAATAGCTATCTGGATAGCCAGTTAGCAGGTGAGAGATACCCAGTGAGCACTGTTTCTTGTGAAGGACCCTATTTCAGTGAAATAATGTGAGTAGTCTTAAATGTTAAACCATAGACAGTAAAAGAGTAGATATCATTAACCTAGATATCTCCAGATAAAAAATAAAATTTCCAACCAAACAAGAAGCCCTATGAACTCCTAATTCAGTTCATTGATACTCGATTTCTTGAGTCTTTGTAGTAGTGATAGTTCAAGGAGACTTAGGAGACCTGGATTCTCACCCTGATCTAGTCACAAACTTGCTGTCTGACTTTAAGAGAATCTTTTAGCCTCTCAGAGACACAGCTTCCCTAAGGACATTTGAGCTCTTTCTCTAAGTTAGCTTAGGGCTTTATAATTTTGTGATTCAGTACTTTAGTACTATGCTGTTGTTAAACACCGATGACTCCTTCTAATTCTGGCTTATTTAAAGAATCCAATAATTTGGCTGAGCATGGTGGCTCGTGCCTATAATCCTAGCACTTTGGGATGCTGAGGTGAGACGATCACTTGAAGTCAGGAGTTCGAGACCAGCTTGGGCAACAAAGCAAGACCTTGTCTCTACAAAAAAAAAAAAATGTTTTTTAAGTTAGCCAGACATGTAGCTCCTGCAGCCCCAGCTACTCAGGAGGCTGAGGCAGGAGGATCCCTTGAGCTTAGGAGTTTGGGGCTGCAGTGAGCTGTAACTGTGCCACTGTACTCCAGCCTGGGTGACAGAGTGAAACTTGCATCTCTAAAAAAAAAAAAAAAAAAAAAAAAATCACTGATTTCCAAGAAACCTGTAATAATTCCTAAGTGTTTTGTTCCTGGTTACTAGAAGCTTCCCACTCAGTTATGGAGGACTTCTGGTTGCAGTAACATTTGAGCAGCTCTACTGGGTACTTGTAGCTTTGCCCGTTTGCTCAGGGGTTGTGAATTCTCCTCGTGACACCTCTCTCAACATTATGAGGCCTGAAAAGCAACCTTGAAAAGAAGAAGACACTGGAGACCTCTCAAAGGTGGGGCAGGTCCATTGTATGTCTGTAATAGACTCTATGAAGACAGCAATTTCCCTGCAATTAAAATTAAGTGCAGAAAATAAGATTTCTTTGCAGGTACATTTTATTTGCATAGAGTCACAGGCTACTTTTCCTTCAAAAGCTACTGTGACATAAATATGATTTCTTCCATTGTTATGATAAAGTAATTTGAACATTGAGCCTTAAATTCCAAGTTCAAATAGTTGCTTATGGTTGTTGCTATTATTGGAGTATGTGAAGACTGCCAAAGTTTCTAGAGGCTGTTGGGAAAACCTGCTGATGAGAGTTTTTATTTGCCAGAAAGGAAAAAAAACCCACTAGTGTTAAAGTGCACTTTCTAATTAGCCAAAGTCTTGGCCAGGTTTGTATTGGCAAAAGCTGATCCTGTGAAATCTGGAATGTGCCATTCAGGTCCCTCAATCCTGTGATGGATTCATTTGTTCAAAATGGCAGACTCCTATTCAAGTTTTGTTTCTGATGTTGCTTAACTTTATATGATGAGTAGTATATTAGTCCGTCCTCACACTGCTAGTAAAGACATACCCAAGACTGGGTAATTCATAAAGGAAAGAAGTTTAATTGACTCACAGTTCCTCATGGATGGGGAGGCCTCAGGACAATCATGGCAGAAGGGGAAGCAAACATGCCCTTCTTCACATGGCAGCATCAAGGGGAAGTGCCGAGCAAAAGCAGGAAAAGCTCCTTATAAAACCGTCAGATCTTGTGAGAACTCACTCACTATTAAGAGAACAGCATGAGGGTAACCTCCCCCATGATTAAATTACCTCCTATTGGGTCACTCTCACAACATGTGAGGATTATAGCAACTACAATTCAAGATGAGATTTGGGTGGGGACACAGCCAAACCATATCAGGTAGAATGACTTCAGGCCATCCGTAATTTCTGTGATGATTAAGAAAGACAGCATAGTAATGTGTCCCCAGCATTAGGGAAGTAATGAGATGACTAAATAATAAAACTACACTACTCCTGTTAAGGAGGTATTTAATTGTGCTACACTGAAATTTAAAATGCTACAAAATGTATAAACATATGTGTATGATATAAAGACTAGTGTGCCAATATATCCATCACCCAAATGAAAAAATAGAATATTACTAGTATCTTGGAAGCCCCCATGTGCCTTTGTCCAAGCATTCTACTCTCTCCAACATTCTACTGTCACTCTGTTGAGTAATGGTTTAGATGAGAATCACCCGGAGAGCCTTTGAACCATATTGATATACTGATGCCAATTCTATTACACATTAGAATGAGGAGAGTCCAGGAATATGTGTGTGTATGGGTGTGTGTGTGTGTGTGTGTGTGTATAAAGTTTTGATTATAATGTGCAACTAAGGATAAAGCCACTGCACTAAAAAACTTGTTCTCAAATTATACTGTGCATACAGATCACCTATAAATCCTGTTAAAATGCAGCCCATAAAATCTACCCTCTTAGCAAATTTCCAGTATACAAGACAATGTTATTAACTATAGTTCTCATGGTGTATGTTACATCTATAGACTTTTTTATCCTTTGTAACTTTCAATCCTTTGGCTTACATCTCTCATTTCCTCGCCCTCCTTCCACTCCCGGAAACCACCTTTCTACTCTGTTTCTATGTGTTCGACTTTTTAAAAAAGATTTCAACTATGCATGAGATTATGCAGTATTTATCTTTCTGTGCCTGAATTATTTCAATTAGCACAGTCTCTTCCCGGCTCATCTGTTATCTCAAATGTAAGGATCTCCTTTCATTATATGTATAGATTTCATGTGCTTTTGAGAGCTTGTTTGGGGGTTCTAGCAGGGGAGCGCAGCTACTCGTATACCCTTGACCGAAGACCGGTCCTCCTCTATCGGGGTTGGTCATCCTCTTCGACTGAGCGTGCAGCTTCGGGAGGGATGCACATGGAGCATTGAGGGAGGAAGGGGACACCCGCCTAGCCTGCTAGATCAGCCGAATCAACCCTGGTGATCAATGGGGTGACAGATCTCGCAGCCAGATCGCCCTCACATCTGATTTCATGTGCTTTTACCACAAAAAAAGGAACCTATATGAGATGCTGAGTGTATTAATTTGCTTGAATGTAGTAATCATTTCACTGTGTATATTTATGTCAAAATGTCATGTTATGCACCTTTTATATAAGCAATTTTTTTTTTTTTGAGACGGAGTTTCGCTCTTGTTGCCCAGGTTGGAGTAGAATGGCACGATCTTGGCTCACTGTAACCTCCATCTCCCAGGTTCAAGACATTCTCCTGCCTCAGCCTCCCGAGTAGCTGGGATTACAGGTGTGGGCCACCACGCCCGGCTAATTTTGCATTTTTACTAGAGACGGGGTTTCTCCATGTTCGTCATGCTGGTCTCAAACTCCTGAACTCAGGTGATCAACCCTCCCTGGCCTCCCAAAGTGCTGGGATTACATGCGTGAGCCACTGCGCCTGGCCTCAGCAATTTTTTAAAAGATAAAATAAAATGCAGCCCATGAAGGTTTTGAACATCCTTTGGTAGGTTTTATCCTAAGTATTATGTTTTTATTATGATTGTAAATGATATGTTTATGTTGCAATACCTTACAATATTGGTTTTTGTGAATTGATATTATTTAGCAAACATGCTATACAATTTTAATAATTATGATAGTTTTTTTACAGATTCCTTTTCTTTGTAGACTGTTGTATCACTTTGGAAATAATGACAGCTTTGTTCCTTTCTATTAGATTCTTCCATGTTTCTCTCTTTCTCTCTCTCTCTCTCTCTTTTTTTTTTTTTGGTTTTCTTAATCATGGTTAGGCTTTCCAAACAATCTAGAGAAAGGGTGATAGAGGATATTCTTGTTGTATTTCTGCTCTTAAAGAGAATGTTTTCAACATTTCATAATTACTTTTGATGTCTTCTCAGAGTTTTTTTTTTTTTTTTGAGGATGTTTTTTACAGAGAAAGTCATAAAAGCATAAATGCATAGAATAAAAAACGTAGTTCCAGTGAAGAGAATCAACCCAGCCAAAGGTTGGGCCTTTCAGAAGACTAATAAAGTAGACAACAGTGAGATGTCTTTTATAAGAACGTTGTTTTCTATTCTCAGCTTGCTGAATTTTTATCATAAATGGACATTGAATGTTATCAAATGATGTTTCTGCATTATTTAATTTTCACCTTTAAAAATCTATTACAGTGGTGAATTATATTAATTGACCTTGAATTCCCAGGATTAACCCAATATGTTAATCAACAGAGTGTTATCTTTAGACATTTTGCATTTGGTTAGCTTATATTTTGTTCAAGATTTTAAAATCTATGTCAGGCTAGCCTCACACTCTCTTTTCCATCCCCTGGAAAAAACTGAAATTGTTTGTTTCTTGACTATTTGGTCAAGCTAGAACTAATCACTTGAATCTGTTGTTTTTTGTGTCACCAGGCTTTAATTTAATTTAATATAATTAATTTATTTGTTTTCGAAATGGAGTCTTGCTCTGTAGCCCAGGCTGGAGTGCAGTGGCATGGTCTTGGCTTGCTGTAACCTCTGCCTTCCAGGTTCAAGTGATTCTCCTGCCTCAGCCTCCTGAGTAGCTGGGATTACAGGTGCCTGCTGCCACATGTGGCTAATTTTTGTGTTTTTAGTAGAGACGGGGTCTCACCATGTTGAACAGGCTGCTCTCGAGCTCCTAACACTGTGATTTGCATGCCTAGGCCTCTCAAAGTGCTGGGATTACAGGCCTGAGCCACCTCTCCTGGCCACACAAGACTTTTAAATTACAGATTTAGTTTTTAAAATATTTTTATATATTATATATTTTATATGACTGACTTTTTCTAGGTTTGTATGTTAGTTTGCTAGGACTGCCATAACAAAGTGCCACAAATTGCATGGCCGAAAAAACAGAAATGTGTTTCCTCACAATTCTGGAGGCTGGAAGTCCGAGATGAAGGTGTCGGCAGGGTTGGCTTCTCCTGCGGCTGCTCTCTTTGGCTTGTAGTTGGCCACCTTCTTCCTGTGTTGTCACTCGGTCTTTCCTCTGTGTGTATCTATGTCCTTATCTCCTTTATGATATCGGTCCTATTGGATTTCGGCCCACCCTAATGATCTCATTTATCCTTAATGTCCTCTTTAAAGACCGTATTGTCAAATACAGGCATATTCTGAGGAACAAGGGGTTAGGACTTTAACATATGGATTTGGAGGGAACACAGTTCAGCTCATAATAGGATGTATTCCTTTCCTCTAGGTTTTCAAACTAATTGTCTCAAATTAGTTCATATCTTATAATCTGTTTACTCTCTCCAGCCTCTAGAGATATGTGCATATTAATTCTTAATTAGTTTATGTATCTCTCTTTCTCTTTCATTAATCTTGCTGTTGTCTATTTTATGAGTCTTGTCAAACACCAAATTTTTAGCTTTGTTGATTCTTGATTCTCTATCTTGGAACCATGTTTTTTATTTTATGCATTTCTGCTTTTATATTTATTATGTTGTTTCTTCTACTTTTGGGGAATTATTCAGCTATTTTTTTCTAACTCCATAAATTGGATGCTTAGGTCATACGTTTGAGACTTACTTCTTTTTCAATATAAGCATTTGAGGCTATAAAACTTACTCCCAATACCACTATATCTCATATATTTTTAGTATGTACTAGTTTATTATTGTTCTATTCTAAATATCGTATAATTTCCATTAGTCTCTCTCTTCTATGAAACTCTTTAGAAGCGTGTTTTGTATCTCTAAAGATATGAGGATTTTATACCTTTTTTGTTATTGATTTCCAATGTAATTGTCTAGTGGCCAAATAAGATATTCTGAATAATACCAACCTGCTGGAATTTATTGAAGTTTTCTTAAAGCCTAGCATGTGGTCACTTCTTTAAATGGGTAAATATATACTTGGAAAATAATATATATTCTGAGAGAGAGAGAGCAAGTGAATCATACATCATGATTGTCTATTGTGCTATTCTAATTTTTTACATTATTACTGGCAATCTATTTCTACTAATTACTGAAACAAATGTTAGATAATCTTCAACTATGATAGCAGATTTGTTAATATCTCTTGTAGCTGTCAATTTTTTACTTCATGTTATTTGAAACTATATTATTAGTTGTATAAATGCTGAGAAATGTATCTTCCTAATAAATAAACTCTTTATCATTAGGTATAATATATGTCTAATATTACCTAGAATTATTTTGGTTACATTTACCTGGCATATCTTTATTCACTTTTTTGATTAAAATACTTTTTTTAATAGACAAAAGTCTTGCATTGTTGCCCAGACAGATTGCAGTGGCACAATCATAGCTCACTATAACCTCAAACTCCTGGGCTCAAGTAAACTTCTTGCCTCAGCCTCCTGAGCAGCTGGGACTACAGGCATGTACCACCATGCCTTGCTAATTTTTTTTATTTTTGATTTTTTAGTAGAGATAGGGTCTCACTATGTTGCCCAGGCTGGTCTCAAACTCCTGATCTCAAATCATCCTCCCTCCTCAGCCTCCGAAAGGGCTGGGACTACCAGCATGAGCCGCTATGCTTAATCTGTTTTTTAAAATAAAATTACTGCATCCTTATGTTTTAGATAAGCCTTTTATAAATAGCATATATGTTGATTTCATATATTTTTTCCAGTTTAACAGTATTTGTCTTTTAATTGGCAAGTTTCACTTAAATATTTTTCTATTTATATTTGGATTATTTTATTGCATCTTGTCACATATTTTCTATTTGTTCTGCCTTTATTCTTTTTCTTCTCTTTTCTTCTTTATGAATTATTTATTTTATTTTTCCTCCCGTATTAGTTTAGAAGTTATATTCTGTATTTGTATTATTTTAGCAGTAACTTTAGTTACTTAAAATGCATGGTTA